TGCTTTGCTCACAAATCAGTTGCTAGTAATCTCCACCCATAAACACTGCTGAACTGATGTTATATATTGGGTTACAGGCGTCCGCATTATTCTAAAGGATGGCAGCCGTGTTCTCAGTAGTAGAGTCGTGGATGATGATGCCAGCATTGATACTGGTTTGTTTGGGTCAACACTCCGCATTACCCTCAACCAGTTGAATGGTGCAATTGGACTAGGGGTAAGTTTACTTCAGCAGTTACTGGAGTTACACTAGTCTTTGATGTAGAAGTGTAATGTTGCAATAACCGACCTGATAAACAAGTGCCGTATTGTTTTTGTTCCTTTCAGGTTAGTTTGGTGTCTCTCTTGGGATCCAATACTCTGATTCCCTATACCATTATACCATTGGACAACCGGTCTTGTACTCCTCCCACCACAGGTTCCTCTTTTGTTATGCTGTATTTTGTAATGAGTAGCCCGAGTATAAAGTGTCAGGTATAATGATTAAATGTTATTCAGCGTGGTTCATACAGTAGAACTCTCTTCTCTAAAGACACTCCTGTGGCGAGGACACCTCTTAGGATACCGTTTCTTTGGAAGCAACCTAACCCCTGAAATAATGGTTCTCTCCCAATCAAGTATAAGGGGTTCCACTGTATTTTTCCAGATATGAGTGCATGCTCTATTGCTGCCACTGGGTAGGACTTACTACTCATCCATATGCTCTAAATTCTGTGGGTCCTTTTGGATGCATAGAGAAACAAATGGCCTGGAAGTTGTGTGTAATATAAAAGCTTGGATAATGTCCTAAGTCATGCCACTGTATATACCAACATTGTTCTTGAGAGTTTCCATTTGGTGAGCTGCACTCTACTACTGACAGAGACTCCACCTATCAATAGTAACAGTATATACATAATTACCTTCCAACACAGAGACTCCAAGTATTGAGACTCCTACTACTAATAGACCAACTGTTAGCACTACTGCTGCTACTCCAACTAACACCGCCGCCACTACTACTATTCAGACACCACCACTCCAGGATCTGTGAGTGGGACACAACCCACACAAGGTATATATATAATTGTAGGAAATCCTTTGAGAGAAAAACTGTCATGATTAGAGAAACATCTGTTAATGCTTTTCGCTTTGAAATTATGTTGGCTGGTGATAAGTTGAACAACTGGGAAATGGTGAAGAATTTTTTTGTCTTATGTACTTGTTTCGCCAAAGTTTTTGTCACTCACTACTTCATTATGCAGTCTCATGCGCCATACATTTTTCAGGGGCTGCTGGGGGGAGAAAAAATTCATAGTGAGGAGAAGTTTTATCATGTCGTGCACAATACATAATAATGGCTAGTGAGATTAAATAGCAACTTTTTTCTTTTGTTCCTGCCTAGGCCGAACTGCGTGAGACGTGCAACGGGTTTGATCAGCTCATCACGTAAACGTAATGGAGATGACGTGCACTCGCAACCCGGAGTGCGACACGGCCAACTGTACCATCACCAACCCTCCTTCAGCGGCCACACCCTCTCGTTGACGCTTCATGTCCTGTCGTGTACTCGACCTCGAGGGTTCGACTGGTCGCCAGAAACCCCGGGCCAGCTGCTGATAGACAGAGAGCTGCGACCAGTCTCAGAGTGCATTGCAGCTAACTCCCAACACTGTGCTGGACATGACTGTGGACCAGAGGAACAACAACTCCATGGCCTCGCTGTCTGTACATTAATACATAGAACAAATGCAACACATTTTTGGTTCACCAGAGTGCAAATTCAGTATTATAGGTTTCATGAGTATTATGGTTATGGTGGTATGGTGGCCACCACCTCTATAGAAATCATGCATGATGATGACTCTAATATAGGTGGGGTTCATTGGTCGCTCATTAGTAGTATTCTTTCAGTAACGTTACAACTTATGTGCCCATAGCACCACGCGCCTACGATGCTGTATGTGAAAGGTATTGTTTAGGTAGTTGTGAATGAAAGAGTATTGTTTTAGGTAAGGTTTGTGAAATGAAAGTATTGTTTAAGGTAAGGTTTGTGAAATGAAAGTATTGTTTTAGGTAAGGTTTGTGAAATTAAAAGCTTATTGTTTTAGGTGAAATGAAAGTAAACTGTTGGTCCATGTGTCCAGGCAACAGTGAGGCTGATCTGGGGTTCACTACAATCAGTATTCCAATTCTGACATACACTATTCTACCTCTGGATAAAAGATCATGCTCTCCTGAAGGTGACTATTTTCGTAAAGTGTGATTTCTGTAGCTACACTATGTATATAGCTACTGGCCTTGTGGCACAAACCACTTCAAAGAAATTGGGTGTAAACTCTGTCATAATTGCATACCGAAACGGCTTGGTGAAAATGGTTGTCATGTGCTGCATTAACATGTTTATTAAAGGCCCATCTGGAATTGGACGTTAAAATGGTTTACTTCTATTAATGTACGTAGGAATTGTGGCAAGTGTTACTCCATCGCCTGCCCCTCCTACCCCTGGTGTGGTACCTACCACCAGTACCACTGGCTCCACTAGCACTTCTACCCCTGGTGTGGTCGTCCCTACCACCAGTACCACTAGCAGCTCTACCCCTGGTGTGGTCCCTACCACAAGCACCAGTGGCACTACTACCATTCAGAGCCCCATCACTACCCCTACCAGTGCTCCTACAGCTGTCAGTACCGTTGCAGAACCTTCTTCTGATACTCCCACTACCACTGATGGAACATACACCACTGGAGAAATTACTACTGAGCAACCTACCACTGGTTAGTGGTACTATCCTAAACTCATGGGCTTCCAACTGTTTGTGTATGTGATATATCCCCACAGCTGATGGCAAGAACACTACATGTTCCGTGTTGGAGGAAATAGCTGCCAATGCTGAGGTCTTCACGTGTACTGCAGACACAACCGAACCTTGCGACACAGTCGACTGCTCTGCATTGATTTACACTGCAGAGTTTGTACTCCTGCCCTGCCGTACCCCACCCGCCATAAGAATAGTCATCAACCAGGAGGAGACACCGGTATTGGACGAGACTATCGATCGCTCCAGGGTGATTGTAGTTCCTCAGTTGCTTGGACTTGTTCTGAACATAACTCTCGACCAGTTTGAGGATGCTATTGGGCTGCAGGTGTGTGTACATACATATGACATAGTATTGGGCTGGTTTAAGTGGTGTTGTCCTTTGTGCCAAGTAGTAGGAAGAGTGCTCGTCCAAAGGCACTGTGTCATCCCAAAAAGGAAAGCTCTCTAAATGTGTTCCCCTTGGTGTTGTTGACATGCACTTGCCATGCTATGGTTTATGGGGCTTTAATACTACGCTAAAAGGTGTAGCCCACGGGAAGTGAAACTGTAGCTATTCACTTCGTGGGTTCTTGGTTTTGTGGGAAAGTGTCGGTGCTGGGACACTGTCAGTCAATACAGCACAGGATGTGAGCAAAGCTCTCCCTGGAACCTCTGGTTCTCCCTTTATGATTGACAAAGAGAGGAAGCCCCTGATATTAGGGACTCAGTTTGGAATCACTTAAGGTGTGGCACGAGAGTGTAGCACAGGCCAAGTATCACACAAAACAGAACCCTTGTAGTAATACACAGGCGATGATAGTGACTGGAGTTGCATAGTACATGCAATGTCTGCAGTAGTCAAAACATTGAGGCCTTTAAAGTGTATCCCTGGCTTACTGATAGTGAGGGCTTTCAAAACAAGGTGGGTGAATCTTCCTAATGTTGTACTGCACGTAGAATTGTAGATACAGGGATGCCATGCTGTGAATGTCTAAGGTGCATGACACACTCCAGTCCAATGTCCACATTATGTGTGTGAGTGCAATTGCTGGCCATGAATGTACATGCTTTAGCTGAGCTCCCAGCCAGTTGGCCAATGTAAATGTCTTGCACTAAGGAGCTCAGCAATGATTCATGGGTAGCTAGCAAGTGAGCATGCAATCTCTACGACTTGGTGAAATCTTGTCATAAACTATTCTGAGGTTCAGAACTACTTTCCCTTAGGTTGAAGGAACATTGAGTGGCAACACTCTGAATGTTATCAAGTACACAGTCATTCCTCTGGAGAAGGCCAAGAACTGTGAGTGAATCTTCAACTTACTGAAGACGCATTGCATGATGACAAATTGTGCCATGCTCGTGACTTGATTATTGTGTACTCTCTTGCAGGCAAAGGTACAGGTGAAGGGGGCAAAGATGGAGAAGGAAGTGAAGGTACAAAAGCTCCAGGGGACTCGGAAGAGCCGTCATCACGTTCAGCTGGTTTCCAGTTTCATTTCTTTTGGCCTCTTCTCCTCCTCTCACTCATCACACTCAAATGAATCAATGTCATCACTGCAAATTTTATCCTGCAGATTAGCTATGTTTATAAGTATATTATGATAATTATGATAAATGAAGGGAGCAAGACACAAGTACGTTTATGCGAACACACGTGACTGGCTGTTATGCGCCTGCGCAGCGTAGACCGACGCACAAGTCAGCGCTTCAGTTGAGCTTTGTTTCTACTAACAGAGACCACCTTTCACTGCTGAACAAGAGGAGTAGCTTGTTCTAGATGGCTCTACCACAACTACGAGTTTTGTATCCATTGGTTTTGACGTTGATCTTCGCCTGCTGTAGTACAGGTAAGACCATGGCTATGTACGTACGTACCTAGCTGGGTACGTGGCGAGACCTCGTATGCGAAATGCAATAATGTTCAGAGACCAAGGTGATATGGCTATATAGCTCTCCTGAAGCTAGCGATTATTATGTTTCACATAACTATATTTCTGTATACAGTTGCAGCTCGGAATCAGGGTACATGTGATGCACTTGACAGCATAGACGATGACAGTACAACCCTCACCTGCACCACTAACTCTGTCTGCAACAAAACTACCTGTACTTCTTCAGGCGCTCTCCAAGGATTGACACTTTGCCTAGAGCTTCTGCCCTGTATGGACCTTCCAGGTTATAATACATGCACCTTAGCACGTTGTGCATTAGAAACTTGGACATGGTGATAGACGTGCACCCACAAAAATGGGGTATGTGTACCATATTATTATACTACGTACATTTGCGAATTTGCCTTGTGTGTGAAAACATTGCCTGGAGAGTCCAACATGTCAGGCAAAAACATGTTGTGTCAACTGACATGTTATTTTTATCTCAAAGAAGTCTGGCTACATGGATCGTGATGTGTCTGTTTATGTTTGTGTGTTGTTTACGTGACCATCCCACATTACTTAGTATGTCTGCCTGACACTGCAGGTGTCCGTTTCATTTTAATTCGAGCCCCCAATACCGTTGTCATCGATCAAGTAGTGACTGAATCTGTCAGTGGGATTGATACTGGAGTGTTTGGAACAACACTCAACGTTACTCTTGACCAGCTTGATGGTGCAATTGGACTAGAAGTAAGCTAACCCTGTCATCTCTGTTATCTGTATTCTGTTATCTCCCGCAATAATGTTTTTCATAATTTCCATTCTTTCCTTGTAATGCCATGTCAAGTGTTTATGAGCATGATGTTTGTTACTGATGGTACTCTTTATGCAATATGGTACATCTGTTTTACATTATTCCTTCTGGTTACTTTCAGGTTCGTTTGACCACTCCTTTTGGCACTTCTACCATCATTCCCTACACTACGATACCGCTGGACACTGAGTCCTGTACCTCTCCCACCACAGGTCACTGTTGTAGCTACATACATCTACACGTGCATTTTAATAATATGGCTCAACTTACACACGAGTTTCTGTATACCTTCCACTTGTCGCGGCTTTGACGATCTACGCATGCTGCAGTACTGGTATGTACTACGTAATTATAATAGCGAAGGCGAGGAGGACCTGAGCCAAGCAGCTCTAGCATTAGCTTTCCACGTAACTGGAGCTGTTCGAGCTAGCTACGTTTGAACATAACTCTGCATTCTTCTATTCTGTAGCATTATTGAAAACTCTACAGCTAGGTGTGACCTTGTTTTTGGCGAAAGCAAAGGGTACTGTGTGTTGCTATGTATGATCTTGCATGCATTATTTGACAGTTGCAGCCCAAAACCAGGGGACATGTGATGCAGTTGACCGCATGATTCGTGGTGCCAGATCCTTATCCTGCACCAGAAACACCGCCTGCAATAAGACTGACTGTACTTCCACTTCTCACTATTGGATACACCTCACAAGGAGCTTCTGTCCTGCAGAAACCCTCCAGGTACTATAGTCTCTATTGAGGTTGGCGCCATGAGGGAAGATATCTGTTTACGTTGAAGGGGTGCGGGTTGTGGCGTGAAGCAAGCCTATATACCTACTCCATACCTACCAATCATCCCGCTTTTCGCTTGATAATCAAGCAAAAACACTGCCTATCCCACCAGAAAATCGCCAAATCCCTATTTTGTGCTAACCTGTGATGCAGCATTGCCGATACATTTGGAATGGGACAACGCAGCATTTTCAAGAAAAAAACTACTCCAATTAAGCTAAATTTGACACATTCTACAAGAAAGGTTAAATGCAGGTTTGGTAGGTATGATATCATCTGAAATGGCTGCCCAATGAGTGACGGTTATTAACACGACATGTCCACAAGCATAAGCTAAAGCAATTCAG